ACAAATAAAACTTAAAAAATTTACAAATAAAACATCTTTATTTTATATTAATTTTTTTACAAGGTCTTCAATTATGGTTCCCTCAAATAAATTTGTTTTGTTTAGCTTAAGATTCTTCCAGCAAGTATCTCGTATAGCTCAATAAAAATATTTTTTTAATAAAAGTACACAGTCATCTCTTTTATTTTATGCAATGAAAAGAAAATCCCTTGTGTGGATACAAATGAAGAAAATGACTGAACTGTATATTTTTTATTTTCTGAAAATTTTGCGTAGATTTTAAAATAATATATATAGTTTTCATAATATTTAAAAATACATATAATTTAATAAAAATAAAATAAAAAAATGGAGAAAAAGTTGTGAGAAATGCCATGTGTGTGAGTGACACATGCACAAAGATTCTTTGCAGGGTAACAACAAATTTATGCATGATGAAAAAAAGCTTCAAAAGTTCTTGGCTAATTCCAATCCCTTTCTCACAGCTATTTATAATTTCTAAATAATTTCTGCAAAGTAAAAGCTTTTAATATTTTCTTTTCAATTTTATATTTGTAAATATAATATGTAAAAGCAAGCTTTTGACAAATATTTGGTTTTCCAATGTATTACATTGTATATTTTAAATAATTATGTCAATTATTATTGTCGGTGCTCATAACATGTAAGGGAGAGGCGCAACTTCACAACTTGCAGGGAAAACAAACATGAAAAGTTACACTTTTCTGCACATGTCCATTTGTAATGAAATACAATTTATAATCATATCTGTTTTATTTGAATCATTATCTTTTGATTGTGCAAGATATTTTTTATTAGAGGTAATTTTTTTTATAAACAAAGATAATTCTATTTGAGATATGTTTGAAGAGACATAATTTCATTGAAAATTTAAATATTAATTTATCTCGTAGTATATAACTGTGCAAGTTGTTAGGTGGCGTGGTCAGTTGGGTCCTACTTGAGCTGGTCGAGTGGGGCACCAAGCTACCAAAGATATTTATATATTTTTATTTTTTAATTTTTTTAAAAACTTAATTATATTATAGTATTATTTTACTTAATATTTTTTATACATTGTATTAATTTTATGTTTATAATGGACATTTTTTATGATTTCAATTTTTCTAATCTTTTTAAATGTTTGAAATTGACTTTTTTACTTTATATCATTTAAAAATAATGAATAATTGTTAATTATATACAATTTAAAAAATTATTTCTTTAAATTTTAACATGAGTTTTATAAAAAAAGTCCATTATAAATAATTTTAATTTTATATTTGGTTTTCCAATGTACTACATTGTATATTTTATATAATTATGTCAATTATTATTGTTGGTGCTCAAAACATGCAAGGAAGAGGCGCAACTTCGGAACTTGTAGGGACAACAAACATAAGTTACACTTTTCTGCACATGTCCATTTGTAATAAAATACAATTTATAATTATGTCTGTTTTATTTGAATCATTATCTTCTGATTGCGCAAGGTATTTTTTTTATTAGAAGTAATTTTTTTCCCTTATAAAAAGAGGTAATTCTATTTAAAATATGATTGAAGAGACACAATTTCATTGAGAATTCAAATATTAATTTATCACGTAAAAAAAGTTGTTAGGTGGTGAGGTCAGTCGGCTCCTACTTGAGCTGGTCGAGTTGGGCACCAAGTTGAAGTTAATCTTAATCTAACCTTGCCTGGTCTGAAGATATTTATATAATTTTATTTTTTAAATTTTTTTTAAAAATGTAATTATATTATAGTATTATTTTACTTAATATTTTTTATACATTGTATTAATTTTATGTTTATAATGGATATTTTTTATGATTTCAATTTTTCTAATCTTTTTAAATGTTTGAAATTGACTTTTTTACTTTATATCATTTAAAAATAATGAATAATTGTTAATTATATACAATTTAAAAAATCATTCCTTTAAATTCTAACATGAGTTCTATTAAAAAAGTCCATTATAAATAATTTTAATTTTTGTTAGTTAATAAAATTATTTTTAAAATAATTTTTAAAAATCGAGCCAAAACCAGGCTCAAATCTTAGGGTGGCCTAATGCTTGAATATGCATATTGGGTTAGGCATCGGCTTGAGTGGAACCTGACTTTTTCATAGCTTGTGTGCAATTTGGTGAGAGACTAGCTCCTACTATATTTAGTTAATTTTATTTGAATTATTTTTTTTTAGAAAGAATGATATTTGAGGCCCTTTCAAAAAAATTTATTACAATAAAGGCTTATCAATTTTAAATTGGATATTGTTTGTTATTAAAAGTTGAACATTAACTTTTAAGTGTATTCTCCCCATTTTTATCTACAAACAATTTAGTATATAATCTTTTAAACTATATAGAAAAATAAATTTAAAATTAGTGTACATATAATTTATATTTGGAAATTAAGTTTTCTATATTAGATAATCATTTGAACTAAAAGGATAAAAAAACTCAATTTAAAAAAATGCTACACATTTAAATATAGAAATTGTGTTTTTTTATAAAATTTTAAAAAACTTGCAATTTATTCAGTAAATAATTACAAATTTTGAACTTGCAGTCAAGTTCAAAATATCGATCAGCATCCCACAAAACGCAATGTTAATAAATATTGTAAATAAAATACACAATTGGATGAGTTTAGATATAAATTAAAATAATAGATATCTTATCTTCCTGTCAAATCCTTAGCATGCAAGGTACTTGGTGGTGGGAAATATGCCCACTGTCCTTTATTTCCTCCTTTATTCATGCTATTCAAAATTCATTCCAGCTCTCTTTCACGTGATTTGTCGTCATTTCCTAGCATTTGGGTAAATTACTTTTAAAATATAAATATAAGGACATAATGTAGAAATTAGTGGGCCTAACCCATATGAAATTGGTTAATATAAACCCAGGCCCATAAGCCTGATTTCTTTTTTTAAAAAAATAAATGTTTTTTAAAGTCCTCCCTTAATCACAAGATTCAGGGGTCATGACTATAAGCATTTTTTATTTTTTTAAATTTTTTAAATAAATTTTATATTATAATATTACATGTTTTTTTATCTAAATGATAAATTATAATGATCAAAAATTAAAAATGAGTAATATAAATTCCCATTTTAAAATATAAATATATATTTTAAAGTCTAAATTTAATTTAAAAATAAAAAATATTTTAATTTTAAGAGTAAAATAAAAAAATATCTAAATGGACCACTTGAATTTGAGCCTTTTTTTACAAGGCCTAACAAAACTTGACTTAAAAGTTTGATTATACTAAATTCTCAATCTTTTAAACTCAAATTCTTATAAAAATAGAGTTTAAAAGAATGACTCTTCAAATTAAGCCCATACTCTTGACTCCATTTAAAGGACATGAGAATATGGGTAAATTATAGCTATTTTCTATATAGTGCATTCCCCATCATGTGTGTCAAAAAAACACCACCTCCATCTTTTATAATCTCATCAGGAGTATTTTTTTTTTGTCTAGTTAGTTTTTTGTCCGAAATTCTTCAAAATATTCTAAGATTTAAAATTCAAACACAGAGACATGCATGTACGACGTGTATATGCATAACACGTTTTAGATTTAGAATATAAACTTTCTTGAGTGTTCCATTTTAAATTTGAGCTCAAAATAAACCAAGTTTAAATAATTCACATTTAAGTTAATTAATATCTTTATTTTTCTAATTTTTATGACAATAACTAACCTAGATATGTAAAACAATAATAATTATATTTTATTTAAACACAAATACAATAACTTATGTTGGGAATGACAGATTGAGAAATCACCAGTTTAACACCACATAACACAAGCATTGAAGACGAAATAGAATCAGCTGTACTATGATAATTACACAAGCATTTAATAGTATTTGCTTATTGGCTAGAAAAGGAAAAAGGCAGAAAATTATGGTGAGATTAATAAGTGAATCTGGATTCTGGACCACATAAGCTTCAATGCTTCACCAAGAATATTAAAGAGGCCTTATTAATTTCATACTCCTACAATCCTATTTATAAAATAGAGAAAAAAATGATCTTATTTATAAAGCATTTACTAATTTCTAATGCTCTTCTCTACATTTTTGCTCTTATTAAATGTTTTGAATAAAAATACCGATAATAAAATTTAAGAATAGTTATTAAGGATAAAAGTGAAAACTTGTTAAAGTTTAAGACAAAATTAATAAAATTTAAAATTTTCCTTAACTTTGGTAAAACATGAAAGTGACTTATAAATAAAACTAGAGTGAGTAATTTGTATTCTATACAATGTATGAAAGGTAAAACTATTAGTATTTGTGAAATTTCTTTTCCAATGCATGGATTGGAAAAAACTACAATTTCAAACCGATCATTTTTTGGAAAACTGAACTCAAAGGCTTGAGCTCTTAAAGGTTGAGCTTGCCCATTTTCCATCTCTAGGTAACACAGCAAGTCAAAGATACCAAGCAAAACTAAACCCCACTTCATAAGCAAAGGCTATTCTTTTATGTGTGTGGTGTGGGTGTATATAAATTCAAACTAGTCCTAACTAATTACTCCCTTGAGTCCAAATTATAAGATATTTTTTCCTAACTAAGCCCTAAGACACAGTACTTTTTGAAATTATTTTCTAAATTTATCTTTGTATTAATTAATGTAAGCATGAAATATATAAGATGATTAAATACTTCTTCTCACTCTTCATAATAAAGGGATTAAGGGTCAAAAAAAATGAAGACATGCCATTTTTTTCATGAAAATAAGGAAATAACTACTTCTATTGATACGTAAAATATGATAGGAAATGTCTTACAATTTGGAGCAGAAGTGTATCATGAAATGCCGATTCACTATATCATGTTAGCAATAATCTGTAACTACTAAGCATTGGTTTTCATCAGACCAATGGATATGTAATATGTTGTTTTCCAGGACATGTCAAAATGAGTCAAGCAAAATATTCAGTCAATATCAAAGTAAGCCTAACAATAAAAGATTTTGAACTTGATAGCTAGAAGGTAAATAAATTTTCAAAGGACTGTTCTAACATGTGATGAGCATATTCTGGATTTTCAAATATTCACCGTAACTTAATTAAGGGAACATCTCCATGACACAGCAAAGTTTAAAAATCAGAATATGCAGATGTCAGCAACAAAATATACAGTTCAGAGAAAGGTGCCAGTATTTACATTAAACGAGCAGACCTTCGAGTTACTCTTCTGAAGTCAGAAGTAGATGATGAAGATTGAGACACACCTGATCCAACCATATCTGCATCATTGGTTCTATTGCTTTTACGCCTCTTTCGTGCAAGCCCTGAACCATGCTGGCTTCCTGTTGCTTCATTTTGCTCATCCACATTGCTGCTTGCAACATCATCTTCCTCAAGAGTCCTATCATTTCTACGCTTTTTTCCTCTAGAACCAGTAGCCACTTGGCTCGCTCTAGGTTCGTTGTTGTCTTCAATCTGGATAGCTTCTTCCTTAGGTACTGTATATGGCCAGTGTTTGCCACAGCTTGGGCAAACTTTCTCTGACTGGAACCAGTTAATATTCATAATCAGAGAAATACTGCATTTTCTAGATGTAGGAAGACATTTATCCAACAAGAGTTATACCTGTTTTCGAGCGAAAAGCTGCTTCAGGCAGTAGTGATGAATTCGAACTGTACAAGCTTCATTTTTGCATAACTCTGCCTGTGAAACCAATTAAAAAAAAAAAAAGGAATTCCAGACTCAAAACTAGGAATCAGATATGAATTTTTCCAACTCCTACTTCAGACAAAATACCTAGTGATATTCACTCAGTGCATACAGGACAGCTGGTTAGTCAAATATTTTAAGTATAAAAGGCCATGAATAAGGGAAAAGGAAAATCGAAAATCCACTAATGAATCAGAATAATCGAAATATAAACCAAAAAAAAAAACTTGGAAGCAATGCAACAGGAACAACCTTCACCCCAGCTTCATTGCAAACATGACATGATGGAACTTCGTTATTTCGAAACCAACTACGGAGATCAAGAAATGATTTCACACCAAGTGAAATGTTACCATCTGCTGTCAAATTAAGCCACTGGTCCCTCACAAGTTCATCAAGAGTTTTTTCCTTCTGAGAAATTGAGAAATACTTCAATGCAGGTGGGACTTGATGCTGGCCTCCTTGAGATTGTGATGCAACTATAACCTGAACATGCTCAAACCATAAAATTTGTCAAGCACAATAGAATAGTCAACATTTGTAGTACCTTAAAGTGTTGTGTATGTTTCATCAGATGTACCAAGACATTCCCTATTCGAGTAAAGGGCATAAAAACTTGATCAGCTTTCCGTCGATTTTTCCAAACAATGAATATATGTTTTTTGCACAAGTTTCATCAGCCAAAACTTTTCTCACAGCAGAATCTGATGACATATATGGTTACCAGGAAACAAAAATTATAATAAGATATTACTCCCAAAACCACACTCGTATGAATAATTTCAACTAAAAAAATCTCATTACTTCAGATATTAGCTGAAATAGAAATTTAATGTGGATTGCTGTTGATTGCATCCATAATTAACCACATTCTTACTTTCCAACAGAAAGATAACAGCAATCAAGTTAAAAGGGAAAAATACAAATACTTCACGCCAATACATTTGAGGATTCAGCTCCCTAAAAGAGGATAGTTCACCCACATGGCTTAGCGCAGGTCTGTAACAACAACAACAACAAGCCTTTATCCCATTAGGTGGGGTCGGCTACATGGATTGCAAGACGCCATTGTGCTCTATCATTTATCAAGCTTTTAGGAATATTATTAATTAAGAGATCGCGTTCAACAACTTCCAAGAGTGTTCTCTTAGGCCTTCCTCTACCTCTCTTAATCGGACTCAAAGTTATATATTCCACTCTTCTCACTGGTGCCTCTCTTGGTCTTCTTTGGACATGCCCAAACCATCTCAACCGATTTTCTACCATTTTTTCCTCAATAGGTGCCACCCTAACTTTTTCGCGTACGTGCTCATTTCGAATTTTATCTTTACGTGTATGTCCGCACATCCATCATAACATTCTCATCTCTGCTACTCCAACTTTATGTTCTTGTTGTCCCGTTAGAGCCTAGCATTCACTACTATATAACATTGCTGGTCTGATAGCAGTACGATAAAACTTTCCTTTAAGTTTATTAGGCACCTTACGATCATAAATAACTCCTTTAGCTTTTCTCCAATTAGACCACCCAGCTTGAATTCTATGTGAAATATCTCCACTGATTTCGCCATCATTTTGAATAATGGCTCGCAAATATCTAAACTTTTCCACTTGAGGTATAATTTGATCTCCCAATTTCACTTCCAAATTATTGTCGAATAGTCCTTTACCAAATTTACAATATAAATATTCCGCCTTACTCCTACTCAGACGAAAACCTTTCGACTCCAATGTCCTCCTCCATAACTCAAGTTTGCAATTAACCTCTTCTCTTGTCTCTGCTATAAGAACTATATCATCCGCGAAGAGCATACATTTCGGGATTTCCTCTTGAATATGTTCCATCAAAACATTTAAAATCAAGTTGAACAAATAAGGACAACATAGATGAAAAATACTAAGAAATTGTGTTCTTCCAAATCCAAGAGTTCTTATCCAGTGGCTTGAACTCTTTTCATAAACTTCATTTTAAACAAATTTTTCCATGCTTGATCATACTTGGTCATCAACCACCAACAAATTAAAACGAGTCAATTAATTATGGACAGAGAAATGCAGAGAAGTAAAAATGTATAACCTGACTCTCCAATTTAAAATTCAGAGCATCAATGTTGGAGACAACACCTTGAGCTGTAGCATCTTGTACTATCGCTTCAATCTGTCATAAAATAACCAAATAAACTGTTGTGTCAAATGCCATAATATTATAGGTCAATTTATTAATCTGCAAAAAAATTCTGGTATTCTCGGGGAAAATTTTGCACACATAGTTGCAAACATGCATACGCTGTGCAATAAGCACAAATAGAGGGAAAGGGAGGAAGAGAGAAGCAAAAAAACAATATGAGATGAATTACTGTGAACCAATTTTAAGTATGAATTATTTTCCTGAGTTCTCAGAAAAAAAATACACTTTAATACAGAACATGCACCAAGTTTTTTCCCCAACAAAATTTATAAGAAATAAGGGGTGGAGGACCTTCTATTATCAAAGCGCATAGATACATGTAAGCAAACTTTCCATGCAGATATTGTAGTTAGTTTGCATAAGGATCAATGGAAAATGATTTAACAGTGGAGGTTGAAGACATTTCTTTCCTAAATCTGCCTATTCTAGAAGTTCCATCTAGGTTAAGATTATTACTCTTCCTTCTAGGTGTATCTCCATCAGTTTCTGAATAATAAGATTTGGAAGAAAAAGAAATGAGAATGTAGTAAAAAGATAGTTGAATGCCTAAGAACATTTCCCCCTAGTCTCCTTTCTGGAAAGTGCAAATGAGGATGCTATATTGCTACTTATACTACACTTCACTACTACTATCAAAATTTTCCCTATAACACAGTATGCGCTTAGAACTTTATACATGTCCGATTATCCTATAAAAACCATACTACTAAGTCCCATACACCATCACCTTACCCATTTTAAATTAATATCCCAAGTTATTGACCAAACCATTCATAATCTTCAACAAATTCAAGGATGTCATATGCATTATTCCCTGCTTAGATTGTTCATATGAACCAATGGCCTTGACAAAGTAGTTAGTCAAGATGAATACTTTTTTCCACGTGCAGCAGACACAAAGAAAATCAGAATCAAATGTAACAATACTTACAATGGCCTTATAAAAAGCAATTTGTGGAACTGTGTATTTTGTGCCCAATTTGGACTGTTCATCTGAAACAGTATTGACCACTCCATAATAAACTTGACCATCATATTGATTCATGCAGCGCCGCAGCTCTAAATGAACAGAAGAAAGTTCTTTGTTTATCTTCAGAAGATACTCTTGGAGTTTACGTTGATCAGTGCCTGTACTATCAATTAAGACAACAGCAATCAATAACTTGACCAAAAGCTGCCAAAGGAATACATGTAACAAGCCTTTTCTCAGTCATAAAAATAAAAACTTCTTCACGATCATACAGTTCTTAACTTATTTCCATTTTCATCACTTCAACAGTTGAGCCATTAATGGTTATCATACCATATCAGATTCGATTTTCAGAACTTATCATGCAAAACTTCCTTGAAAGTAAAAGTAAAATGACAAAGAACATTTCTAAGGCCTTGATTGGAAGGATGATTTGAGAGTGGCGGGTGGATTGATCAGGATGATTTTGAAACCATACTAACCCAACCCACACCCAAATTTTTAAATCATTCCGAATAGGATGGTTTGGGTTATATATTAATTAACATTTCTTCTCCCTTTTTTTTAACCCTCTCCAAATAAGCATCAAGAGCATAATTTTACCTCCAATTTTATCCACCCTATAAATGGCAATGTAACATCCAATCAGAGGAAAGTGTAGACTGTAGAGTGAGGAAATTATCAATAATTTTATTCAATTTTCTTTTAGGAAAGGGTTGCATCCCACTTCACTCCACCCCAACCCACCTCCAATCAAGCCCTAAAACAGAAATTGCTACCACCACCATAACTTGTCAAAGGCACTTTGTCTAGATGCATATTCAAAGTTAACAAATACTTGACTTCTACAATCAGCTCTTATTTATACCAAAATACCAATCAAAACACAAACGTTCCCTCTTGGATGTCAACATCTTAATTCATGGAAAGCAGCTCTTGTGAAGAATTTTGGAACTAGACTCCCCTTTCAAGAATCAACAACATAACACCCAAGTCCAGAAAAATAAATATATGGGCTCAGATAATCAAGCTTCTAGGAGTTACAGAGGAAAGAAATCATATTTTCGGAACCTGGGTTTTTCCCTGTGAGGTCATTGAACATTGAGTAGAAGTCCTTTTCCTTCAACGGCCCACGTGACAATAGAGCTTGAATTATGGCATGATGCTTCCAGCTTAACTCCGTCATGTTTGTCCAAGTATATAAGAAAACTCTAGATGAGATCAGGAATTTAGAGGCATGATTGTTGACTCATTTACTTCAAAATCCCCAGTACAAACCCATTGAAATAAGGAGTTAGAGCTTGATATTGCTGGAAACCTTTGGAAATTTCAGAGTTAATAATAAAAGGTTGCACACAACATTTCAAGTTAGACAACTAGTCAATAATAACAAATTAACAATATACAAAATGCAATGAACTAACATCAACATCCCACAATTGAGTTGATGGGTTCAAAGAAAACCCACTCAAACCATTTCTAAGAAGTTCAGATGCCTTATCACTTACATGAGTTCCACTTGTCTCTTCATAATCATATTTTTCCTTTGCAAGACCTTTTATGTCACAGAAAAAGATTAAGGGCCAAGCTGAGTATTATTTTCAGGTGAAGTGATTCTTCTTAAGTAGCTTCTAAATGTTGCTATTTCTTTTACTGGATCGATATTTAACTTCAACCACCAACTTTTCACTTAATTTCGAAGCTGCTGAATCTCTTGGATAACAACAATTGCAGATTGATTCTAAGCTTCATCTTTTTTTCTTTTTCTTTTTTTGGCGATATAATTGAATTAGATAAATGAAGCAAATAAGAGAATAACTTGTATTAGAAAGTGACAGAACAGTGAAAGTCAAAACAAAGATCAAATTTTTGTTATAACCATCGCCACAAGAATCTAATCAGATTGTACGTCCTGTAACTTATTTTTGTCTTACTTGGCTATTTACATTGTACAAATGCTGAACTTCGTTGAGTAAACGAGGTAAGACTGCTACCCTGAGGTTGGAATATTATTTATTACCTTCTATCCATGGTCCTTCACAAATACTGAGAAATTTTAGACTTAATTAATTCGATGTCATGAGCCTAAAATTTTCAAATCAGAAATCCCACCATCTATAATTTTCAAGTCATGAGCATATAATCAGAAAATCCACGCGCTCAAAGGCCTCAAATAATTTCGAAGGCTAATATTCAGGTAAAGGGCAAGGCACTCCATCATAACTCAGTGAGCCCAAAAAGGGAGAAAAAAAGGTACATCTCGTGTAGAAGTAAAACACTGAGAGGGAAAATAATGACGCGGGAATCCATTAAAAAAACAGAACAACATTCCTCAATCACCCCCAAACAATTTGACATAACATTTTCAACCCTTAATTAAACGCTGAGTCCCCAAACAATTTGATTCCAACTTCCTTAATATATTTACCAACGTCGTATTCAAGAAAGCAGGAACGGGTTTCCAATTGCAATAACAACAGCGAAAATTCTGCGGCACACGGCAAACGAGAGGCGGACTTCAAAATAACCAAATACAATGCATATACAGTAAACATTGGAGCTTTGAGGGGAAAAGGGACACGAAATTCAGGAAAGAAAAGTGGGGGCAAAAAGAACAGCATTAGACAAAAGGGAGAAGATTATACCTGAAGATGAGCAAAGCAGCACTGAAGAGCAAACTGGGGATGGTGAAGTTGAGCAAAGCAATGGTGGGAATTAAGAAGAAACGCTCCAACCAAACACTATTTAGGTTTTCAACATCGAAGAAGGCTTCGGAGATTTTGATGGCGGGAAAATGTCCGGCGGGAGTGTATTTTACTACCACTTTTTTTTCCCCTACTCATATTTATCTCAGTGGAACAAAAATTTAAGCGAGTTACCGCTCGCAGGAAATTAATAATTACAGATCTTCATATTCTCCTACTCTCTCTAGTCGCGTTTACAGGCTACATTTAAAAAATTTTAATTGGTTTTATCAGTTATGGTACGCTTTTCAGATACTATTTAATTTGATTTGATTTGATTAAAAAATATTTTTAAAATTATAAAATACTGAAAAATAAAATATAAAAATCTAAAATATTAAAAAATAAGTACTTATCTATAACAAAATTTGAATAAAGTGTAAGAATTCAAAGCTATATTTTTTTTTATATAGAAACATACTTAAAATTTTATAATTTTTTTATATTGGTATTAGTGAGATTACTAAGAAAGACTTATAAAAAGAAATTAAGAATATGAATCAAAGCTTTATTAACTAAACCAAATATTGTTTTTGTTACTAAGATATTCGCACAGCTAGTGATCGTAAAACTAATTACTTCAGAAGTGTAAATGCTATTTAAGATTGTACTCTCCGTGATCAAACTTTGTCTTCTTGTCTATTCTTAATTTTTGTCAAAGTTGGCCTTTTAGGAACTCTATTAAAATGCTTATTGGTTTGGGCAATTAAGACCATATATTTATTAGGCCCGATGAGTTTAAGCCCAAGATTGAGTTCTTCTTTCTTCTTTTTATCTCGGATAAAAGAAATTCATTTTTATTTATCATGAAACATTATTACACTTGCTGGTTCAGAATAACGAAAACAAAGAAACGAAAACCATATTTTTTTTTTCTTTTGGTAAAAGAGAGGGCAGAGCCCTAATATTTAAGTGAGAAATACAAATAAGACACTAGACTCTGTACGAATGTAGGAGCGATATTGAATAAAAAAGAATAACATAGCCCTTCCTTAGCAATTTTATCTGCCACCTGATTCTACTCCACGTCCACTCGCTGAATCTTAAGGTCTGTTTGGTTTTTGTTTCTTTTTTTTTTTTAAAAAAAATCATCTTGTAATACAATTTTTAAAATTATTTTTCAAAACAAAATAAAATAAAAATTCATTTGGTTATATTAATTTAAAAATAATTTTAAAATTAAAAATAGAACAATAGTGATGGTTATAGATGATTAGTAGTGGTAATTTATAATAAAATTTAGTTAAGATAATTATAATTTTCAATAATCAAATAAAGTGTATTCTGAAAATGAAAAAAAATAAAATGAAAACAACTTAAATTTATTTTTTATTTTAAAAAATAAAAAAATGAAAAGTTTTAAAAACAAGACATTTATCGAAATAAGTTTTAAAATTTTTCTGTTTTCGAAAACAAAAAACAGTTTTTAAAAATAGAAAACAAACAAACTCTTAATTTCTCAATTCCACTGAAGCATGTTCATGATTTCAACGAAAACCATACTGCCCGAATTGCTGCAGCTTCTTCCTCTGTCAATTTGTTCCACTATTGCAATCTGATTCTAGCACAACCTTTTTAAAACCAGAGTCTCATACAAGACAGAGACCCTTAAGAACTTCCCATTCCTCTGCTTCATAAGCACTACAGCTCCCCAAATGATGATAGAAGCTTGCTATTCAGTATCCATTATGCTGTCTAAGTACCCCTCCACAACCAGCCCCTATGGTTGAGAGGGACCAAGAAACAAAAATCATCCACTTCATTATAGACATAAGATTTCATTGTTTTGGCCCAAGATTCAGTTTCGAATTTAGATTCTTTAAAATGTAAACTTATTAAAATATTTTTAAAATAAAAATTGCTTGTAAAATAAACGAAATTAGGCATTTAGTATTTTGTATTACTCTGTTTAATTTTATAAATATTTTTACAAATTTATAAATTTTCATATATATATATATATATATATAATAGATCTTAAAATGTTGTATTGAGGAAAAGAAGTCAAACGTTGGGATAAAAAAAAATAAAAAAACAGAGTAGGCTTCGTGATGTTGCATGCCTCTAAAAGAAAACCTGGCATGGGTCCTAAATAGCAATATAGCATGATAAAATTGATAAAATAAGATGATTTGTGTATTATTCATGACTTATTAATAATTCTCCCCATAATCAAGAGGCGTCAAGAGAGTCCTGTATGGCCGCTCTTGATAAGAACAATCCCACACAATTAGAGTCTGGATTAGTCTAGCTAAATAGTGATAATATCTCCAGATTTTCTAGAATATTAAATGATAGAATAAAATTACTCCTGCCCATAATTTTGATATTTATAGTTTGTATTGATGATTGCCATTTGAAAATGAACAAATAATCAAATCTTTTCACAATCTCCTGGGTTCTCAAAAACAAGGAAATTCAATCATAATACCACCCAAAAATGCAAGGAGAACAAGGATAAATAACCCTGACTCATGGACAAGCAACACGGAAAATCATCAACATAAAAATACCATGTTTAGTATCAATAAATGGAAATCTATTCAAGCCCTTGAAATTGGAGAAATTGAAACCTCCATAGCAAATTAAGTGACAGGCTGACTGCTGACAAATGGATTCCCTGCACATCAACTTATTTACATAGTAACCCTTCGCAATGGAATCTTAACGAGTCCTCAATAAAATTTCAGGACACCATTTAGATGTTCACCGTTGACTTATCTTGATAAAATCATAAATCATGACCAACTTAAGTTGACATAAGTAGTAAGGACTCTTATTACTCAAATAAATAGTTGAGAGTTGGGAGAGGTCTACCCTATGTCCATAGTACCCTGAAGGAGAAAATTTCTGACGTCAGTAGGATCAATTCCTTGTACTCACCTAAAAAAAAATCACAAGACATGAAAATTTCTTATATTTTAAACCATATGTCTGGTCGTCTGGACATTTCAAACATTTATATGTCACTCTCATGAAGTTCAGGACAAAGTCCAAATTTTTGGCCGTCAGGGAGAGAATTTTTTTGTTTGAAAGACACCTTCATTTTTTTCGAAGCTCAAGTTTCATCTGTACCATTTGATCACCCAATTGAATAACACAGAAAAACTGCAAATAATGCAAGTCACACAGATATCAATAAAAGGGCACACACTTCTTTTCTTTTGAATGATAGCTGTTGATAGTAGGGATACAAATTGAGCTTTCCTTCCCTGGCAACATAAAAGAAATAGGGAACAAAATTGCATACCATAGTGATCTGTCAAATTACGGTGAGGTCAGCAACTGTAAATGCAATACAATTTAAACAAGAAAGGAAGGAGTAATTACATATGTGATTGACAATGAAATTAGCTGGCTCTGGTTTAGGGTGTCATTCAAGGCAACATGTCTAGTTTATAACAACTTAACTATTCAGCAGTATTTTCTATCCAAATATTGACAAAAACTATGAGACCATGAAATTGTTTAAAATAATAGTGAAACATACTTTCGACTCAGGTGGCCAAGTGGAAACTGACCAATCCACAGGTGGGCTGAATAACACACTTTAATCAAATGGGGGAAAACTAATTTCTGACAACCACGTGAGGGTAAATTGTAATATACCCCAGAAAAAACAAAGCAATTCATCCACCAACTGCCGCTTTAGAGCTGCAAATCAAGTTTCCACGTCCCACTATTAACTAGACCAAACTGGTCAATTCTTTGCATGGCAAGTAGCAACAGTGGCAATGCCCAAAAGCTTCATAATAACAGGGCATGCATGATTCTCATAGGGAAATCATTTTCCTGTGTGAGTGCCCTCCAAAAGAGCTTAACCGTCCATCATGATCATGATCGTGGAAAATTAGGGTCAGAACTCCAACCAAACACAGCACTGAACCAACAAGAAGTTTGTCATACCGCTCCACCCAGTGAAACTTTAGCTGACTGGCCCCATAGAATGACAATGCTACAAGTGACGTCATCACAGATATAGTGCTGAAAAAGCAACGTCATGAGGAAAGCTTGATGGCAATGAAACATATTCAAACATGACTTTCAAACGTTATGGGACTTGAAATATTGTGCATTTCCGGTCTACAGAGAAGCAGTAAAAAGCATGACCGATAACATGACTCTCATAAGTCACCTGAACTTTCAATATCAACTTAAGGTATTTAGTTTGAAAGTTTGCCAAACTTGCTTCCTAAATGCTACAAACCATGCTGGTGTAAATTAAATTTTGAAACTTTTGTTTATATAAGGCAAATGTTAAAGCAATAAATGGCATTTTGATGGGCCCATTACTAATGGGCCAAGTAAGTCACTATGGGCTCTGAAATGTAAAAGTGAGAGAGGGAATGGGATATAAATGGTGGGGATTGAGGTTAGAAGGAAGCAAACTATCACTTAGTGACAGTGTGTCAATGGGGGAGTTCCCCACCCTCTTGAATGTTAGAGAAGGGTAGTCAGTCATTTTGTTTCATGCTCTTCGTGTCTATAGTTGTAATAATCTGAGTTCTTTCCTCCATCATATTTGGTCAGTGTAATTCATATATTCCTTTTATGGGTGTCAAAACACACATTGTCATGAAGCGAAAGCAGTTTAATTCTTGTTCCCTCGATTCAATCCATATAGCCGACTCTACCTAATAGGATAAGGCTTGTTATTGTTGTTGTTGTTTGGTGTTGATTCAATAGAAGGACCAATATCATAAATTATCACTTAATCATAGGAAAATTTTCAAATAAACAAACTAAATAATCACACATTGACTGATTGACAGCAAACACAGAAGCATCGTCCATGCAAATATAAAAAGGAGATGCCAAATCTTAATGAATAAAAAATAAGGAAACCTGAGTAGCAGCACTATGATGGCAAGAACCATCATGGAAGATGAATTTCCAACGGCTAGAAATACTGGAAGTGTTGTTGCACAAGGAGATAATGCGGGAACAAGAATGAGTCCAGCAACAGCCATTTTCTCCATGGGTTGGTTGTGAGAATGATTATGGCCACCCTTCCCAGACAAAAACAGAATAACATAGCCACCACCAAGAAATATGAGCAAAAGTGAAGCAAGCTTATGCACTGTTTCTTCACCAGCAATAGTATTTGCCATGGTGATTGCTGTTATTCCAAGAAGTGAAGTGGATATTACATGCAAAATTGCTCCAAGTGCAGCTGCAAGAATAAAGTGACAGAGTAAGGATATTGAAAGGCGATCTGTAAATAATATTTGAAAATAATGCTCGCATATGCATTTGTCAGATGACACTACAAATCTAATTGCCTTTATTGAGTTGATAGAGAAAAAAAAAAAGAACATCCTTAGACTTTTGAGTAAAATATTACTATACTTGATAGAAGGCCTCGTTTAAGTACAGCCTTTCAGCGAGATAGAATAGCAATATATATAACAGTTATCAGTTTGATAGATTCTAAGACTGTCGGTCATAAGCTATGAGATATTTGAAGTAAAATATTTATCGAATTAAATCAAACAAAGGGCACCTAATTATATCAGATCGAAATAAAAAAATCCTAAAAAAATAAAGATATGGAAGTTCAACAGAATCCCATCACCAAATCTAGCGTATGTTTACAGAAATCAAGTCTCTGAATGAGGACATTTGCTCTTCCTTAAGGAACAAATGATGCTGGTAAAGGTAGAAGAAAATCGTAATTCCGAGACCCTCATGAAGGCTAGCACATATATCTTCCTTGCAAAATTTGTGAAAAAAACAAAAATAGACTGATTCCATAAACATCACCAAAAACAGAACACAAACCAGTTCAAATGTAAGCGATACAACTTCACATTAAGATCCCAATTTCCCACTATTTTCCCGGTACCCAGAAAACTGGAACGATAACTTCCTCGTGAAAACGAGATCTAAACATCAAATTCTAAATCAAGCACGTGCGAGATCAGGAATTGAGAAACGTACTGACGAGCACAGTCCGAGAGAGAGTCCATTTCTGGGCGCGACCGACAATGGAGAAAGGAAGCCAGTGGGTGGGAATGAAGGAATGTAGAATCGAAACAGTAGCGATTCCACCGATAGTTGAAAGATCTTCGGCGTTGAAACTATCCATTACGAACCGAAATTTTTTGCAGAAAAAGCGAAACTTTGGAGAGGAAATTTAATGCCAACCTGAAATCTGCACCAAGGGAGCTAAGCGGCATCGAATTCGACCCTTTCCATTGCCAAGAAGCAGGAAAGCATCAGATATTACAGATTTTTTTTTTTTCAACGTTTTTTTTTTTAGCAGACCAACGTCACTACGTCAGTGATAAAATGAGATGTATTTGATAATAAAACTTTCTACCCCTTGAATTCGTGTCAATTATCATTCATGTTTAATGAAAGATGTATTTTTATGAATAAAAAAAGCTAATCCCTGATAATATGTCTCAGAGGCACAGGGTTTATCGATTTGGACCAATAGAATGCTTCACATCATCAATTTTGGTTTATACATAGTAACTTTCTGTCCTACTAAATATAGGAGCTAGATTAAAAAAATTGGTTGGGTGAGTTATTTGTTAAAAAAAAAAAATTGATCGTTTCCTTTAAATGTAATTTCTTTTAATCATTTTACATATTTTTGCAATCAATGGGCATGAGACTTTCAATGTGCTTTGTAATGTCTTGATCTTTAATAGTTTTTTCTTTTTCTTATGATCCTTAGTTTCTACATAAAATAAAGATATTTTGATATCTTATAGTGATCAATTGGTAAAGTTTTGCACTTTTTTATGTTTTTTTAAAAAAATAAAAAACGCACAATTTTTGGGTTTTTTTTTTAAAAATCATAGAAAATATAAAAGTACACCATTTCATCATGGTAAGATATCAAAATGTCTTCAATTTAAAATCTAATGATCAAAAATAAAAAAAAGAAGAAAAAATCAATCAGTTGGTGGGATCATTTCAAATTAAAAGGTGTGAGGGAATGTGATTAGAAGCCTCAATTAACCCAACTACAAAATATAGAGGTAGTTTGGAAAAAAAAAATTTGTGAAAGGCAATTGAAATAAGATTGAGACCTTATATTTAGAATAAAAACAAACTACCCAACTAGTTCATACATTTAAGACGAGAGGAATATATTATTCTACCATAACTCTTCACGTAAAAAGAAAATGAAAACAATTCACAAACAACCAAATTAAATTGAGCATTGATATGTATTTCGATAAAAAAAGAGGTTAAAAAGCCAATTACAATAATGATATTATTTTATTGAACTCATGGTTCTAGTACAAGAGTGAGAGCACAATACATGACATAATTGGGATTAGATTTAGTTTTGCGCAGGACAGGCACAAATACAATACCCTTGTTTACTACATTGTTTGATAGTACAAGGCTGATTATGAACACATATTAAACTTTTGCAATCATGGCCATTTTTGCAATTTTGCACCAAGTTGTGTGGGTTTTGTCCATTACAATCGCACTTTCCCAAAATACACACAGCTTTTGGGCAATTAATCAACCCTGAACAATCAATATCTCTACGACATTGAGCAATTTCTTGTCCTATTGAAATGCCTGCATGGTCATTTTACGCAAATTCAGAGAGAGGATATAAATTATGTCATGGTAGAAATGTGGCATGGAGCACATAGTTCAACTGTTAAGAGATTTGTTAGTTTAACTAGTAATTTTTAGCTCGAATTTTAAGTATGCAGTTGTGTTAAATACCTGTTAGAAAAGCTTTACTGTTAATATAATCCTACATGACTTGATCCATGAATAATGAATAATTGCATAAATAAATAAAAAAAAAAGAAAATAACATGGAGCATAGAGCCACGTGTAGGCTTTAAGGATCTGTTTGGTTGGAAGGAAATTGAGGGAATGAGAGATTCTAATGAATTCAATTTTAAAAGAAATGGAGAAATGGGGTTAAAAAGATTTTGACTAATTTTACCTAGTAATTTAATTTACATATTTTATTCAATTATTAAAATTTTAAAATACCATTTATTCATTTTTTAGAAACTAAATTTATTAAAATTTTCCCTCCTTCCCATTACCTTCCAACCAAGCAGGGAGTAATAGCAGTTTTGAAATGTTGTGATAAACTATGTCATGGTGAAAAAGTGAGATGGCAGGACCAAAGAAACTTTTAGAAGTATGTTTGGTTGGAAAGGAATAAAGAAAATGTGAGATTATAATGAATTCAATTATTTTTAAAAAAATGGAAAAATAGGGTTACAAAATTTAATTTTACTTACCATTTAAATTTACCTATTCTATTTATTAAAATTTTAGAATCCCATTTATTCATTTTTTAGAAATTAAATTTATTGAAATATTTTCTTCCCTCCATTACCCTCCAACCAAATAGAGAGTATGCTGTACTTTTGATACGTTGTGATACTTTTTGAAAATCCAAGATTATTAAAATAATATTATAAAATTGTTTATATATATATATATATATATGATTCGGTTATATAAGTAAAATATATAAAAGTATCAAAATTATACCATTCTCAAGCGATGAACAATGTTATTTGTCTTAAATTTTGTACAAATACATGTCTCACTTCAGGTTTTAAAATGTATATCGTGCTATGGTGTGATTGAATAGTATAACCAACCAAAAAAAAAAAAATACATACACTTACAAATATCAATCAATATATAAAATATAAAATCTATAAAACATTGTATTATATACAACTCAAATAAAGAATAAGTCGCATTGCTTAAACTCTATACAATAATAAGATGTCTAGTATTGCCAAGTCAAAGAAAGTGATATTTACCATGACATGCAGATGTGGCAAGAAGAACCAAAAAGAGAGCTGAGATGAAGGAAACTTGTTTCATGATTTCTTTGTTTTCTAAATTTATGGAAAATATTTGCTAAACTAGAGAAGTAATTGTGCTTTTTGCAAACTGGTTGAGCTCATTTTATACATATATTATGATGAGAATATAAATACATATGTAAGCTTCTTCTTCTTCTTCCTTTTTTAACGGAAGTGAATAATATTGTATGATCTTGGTATATTTGAAAATCTACATATCAGTAAAGAAAAATCCTACGTAATTAATTCCTTAACTTTTGCAAATTAAAAATGTAAATATAAATAATGGCCCATATACTTTTATTGTGTTTTTCTATTAGTCCATGTACTTGTTTCATTACTCCAAGTTCTTTAAGTTTCATGTGTTAGCAACGTTAATTCGTATATTTTTAATCAAAAAAAAATAATAATTTTTATAGTTTTGATCTAGTTATAACTTAATCCTAAATTTTAATTCATTGTAATTTAATTTTTATAATTTTAATTCATTTATAACTCAGTTTCTAAATTTTTCTTCTTCCAACTCAATTTCTATAGCTTTAATTATTTAAATATTAGTCCCTATATTTTAAAAAATAAAATTTAAAAATTTAAAAATATTTTAACATTTTAACATTTTAACATTTATAATATTGACAAAGAGTAAAAGGTTTTATTAATTTAAAATATTAGTAATAAATTTTAACATAATTTTAATTTTTATATTTTTATTTTTAAGATATAAGGACCAATATTTAACTAATTAAAAATAAATACAAGGACTAAGTTATAAAAGTTAAAGTTTAGAGACTGAGTTATAATTAAGTTAAAACTTTAAAAATTAAGTTATAATGAGTCAAATTTTAAAAATTAAGTTACAGTTGAGTCAAAACTACAAACACTAAATAATTAATTTTTTCCTTTAATTATGACTATAAAAAATTAACGATGACTAACATGTACATAAATATCTTATACAAGCGTGTTTGGATATTTTAAGAAAATTGTGATTTTGGGTTTATAATTGATTTTATGGTTAAATGGGAAATTATAGATCCAAGAGAGTTTGGAATTATAAACTTATTTTTTTTAACATAATGTTTTTCTTCAACTTTTAAAAAAGATATAATTTAAATTTATTGTTAATAAAAGTTAACTTTAATGATTGGTTGATCAAAAAATGATAGAAAAAAAATAAAAATTACATAAAAGAACAAAAAATTGCAATAAGGAATCCAAAAATTACAAATAATAAGAATCTCAAAATTACATAAAAGGACCAAGAAAATTTTTCTAGTCCTTTTTTGTAATTTTTGTCATCATTTACTATTATTTTTTAATTAACTAATAATTAAAGTTAACTTTTATTAATGATAAGAGTCAAATTGCATTGTTTTCAAAAGAGAGAGAGAGAGAGAGAAACGTTGGGCAAAAAATGAGTTTAGAATCTATACTCTTTGACCTATAATTTAAGAGTTAATTTACTCTATTACCCTTGATTTTAACATATATTAGGGGCATTTAGATATTATTAAAAAAATTATAATTTTGGATTCATAGTTGATTTTGACACACACACATATAAATATAAAGGTGTTTAGATTTATTTTTATAAAATTATGACTTTTAGCCTCCAATGATCGGTTATTTTTAAGTATCCAAACAGAACGGAACCATGGATAACATATGAAGTTCACGGTCCAAAAAGAATACCAAACTCGAATAAGTCCCATTGAAATGTGAAACTAATTGGATAAAAAGGCAATTATAATTGTGATTTTAACTATAGCTGTGGTTAATAATGTCAGAAAAAAATAACGATATTGGGCTGTCACTGGGGAAAAAAACTTAAATTCCAATTTGTTGGCTAGAGAAGTTTAAAGGCTTAATGTTGGTTTTGTTCACTATCAATCATGTATTATTGTGCTAATGGGTTGACTGATTTGGAAAAAAGTGTATCACATCATCAATTTTACTTGTTGGTAAATTTGGTATGCTACCTCATTCATGGTCAATCTTTAATAAAAATATAACATTCAAATAATATTGAATATAAATTAATTTTACTATTAATAATAGTGAATAAAGAAAATGTAAGAAATTAAATAGACATTTTATTATAAAAATAAATTTATTTAAAATAATGAAACATTATATTTTCTTTAATTGAATTTGTGTAATTTTATTGATTAGACTATGGATGACATAGTACATCGAGTCTATCAAAAAATTTTTTCAATTTTGATTATTCTATACATGATTACTCTCTATGCTACTAAATATAGGAGCCAAATAACTGATTCCTATAGATTAAGAAAATGGGTCAAATTATCCATTTGTAAAAGAAATTTGATGGTTTCCTTAAAATGTCACTTCTTTTAATCATTCAACATAATGTGTGCAATCAATGAGCATGGGACTTCTAATCTGCTTCATAATGTTACAATTTTTCAATTTTCTTTTTTTTAATATAATTAGTTT